GAGAATGAATGGAGTGAATCTGTGACAGTCAGGTGTTGTTACAGGACACTGAAAGTGCATTTGACAACCGTAGAGAAACATGCTGAGAGCTGAATGTAAGATTTGAGAAAAGATGGGACTTTGGACAAGGGGAAAGGCAGGGAGACATGAGTAAAGATGATTATGTGTTTGTGTCATAGTTGTATGACTGGGCAGTCACTTTTCCTATAACCCTTCTCTTCCTGCTGTTCATTACCTTTTCTCATATAGTTTAGGTGTAGCTTTGCATGTTTTTGTGTATTTATTATCAAGGAGAGGGACACACATTTGATACATTGTACGTACATATTACCAGACTTTGTATTTTTTGTTTGGAAATCAAATATGTTTTTATATTATGGAAGCGACTTCTCATCGCTTTAGTGTTGCTGAATTAAGTACATAAAAATCCTCTTGACTAAAATCAGATAAATCCTGGTGTGAGAGAGGGAGGTCATATTTTTTTCCATTGGCTTGGTGCCTGATTTTAGCTTAACCTTTTTCTGTCCTTGTAAATTCTGTGATGTCTCTGCCTCTGTGCCACTTAATCTAACTCTGCTCGTTTTGTTAACTTATTTATCCTTTGATGTGACATCTTGGTCATGTTCTCCCCAGAGATAAGAGAAATTTAGTCTTATATGTCAGTGACCATTTCCTGTATTTGAACTATGAATTGTGATTTCTCATGCTTTTCCTTAAAATTAGGATGATAGGTTATATGTATTAGAGATGCTAAAATGCAGGTAATCAGAGAATCAAGTAGTCGATGGAATTTCCACTGACTATTTGATTAATCGATATGGGGAAGGGGGGGGCTCACTACCCCGCACTGTGGCTCTGCAGTTTAAATATAGTAAGGACTGCCTGGCTCTTACTACATTTAAAAGGCAGAGGTGCAGCACTGAGTCCAGACTGCTGCGACTCTGCCTATCTTGCTGCCATCCACACCACTGAAATGGTGCTGAGGGAACCAGCTTTTCAGCTGTCTCCCCACAGCATTGGCTTCCCCTTGTCTCTGATATATATCAACTCAACTATCCTATAAGCCTAGGCTTATCTGGTAGTTAACTATTCGACTACTCTTTTACATCCTTAATAAGTACTGTAAAATTTTTAAACATGAGGATCTAAAGTTTGACTCCAACACTCAGTGGAGTCTGAAGTTGCTCAGCTTCTTTAAAATGAAGCTACTCTTGTCTCGGTGCCAAATATGATATAGGAGTCAAACTTTAGGCACCAAGGTTTGAAGATTTTGGCCTATTATCATAGAAGTTAGAAATGAGAGTCAATTACTAGAGCATCACATCCGTCTGCTGGTAACTGCAGTATATAATTCTATGCTAGAGACTGTGTCAGATGTTAAATTGATATTGTATTTGCTGTTTAAGCAGAAGACCAAAAAGAAGTGACTTGTCAATGAGCATATAACAGAGCCTGTGTAGAACAGGAATTTATTGTAAATTTGTGTGGAGCTACTGTACTGTCCTCTTAAAAATCCACATATCCCTTGATGCTCACAAGAAATGAGGTAAGTGGCATTTCACCCTCTTTTTGTACTTCTCCGTTTGTCACTTATTCATGTATTTCATTAGACAGTAATCTACATTACTGGTGATGTAAGCAACTAGTTGAGTCACTACTCGACTAGTCGCTCTCCCCCCCTTGTTGCCACTGTAGGCAGAAAGAGGGGGAAGCAGGAGCCAGTGCTAGCGGAGCCAGCTTAAAAGCTGGTTCCCCCCAACACCATCTCCGTGGGGGGCAGGAGAGGCAGAGGCGCAGCAGTGGACCTGGTGTGAGCCAGGACTGACAAGTTCTGGCTCATGTGGGGTCCCAGACGCTGCACCCTGCTTTTTAAAGGTAGTAAGAGCTGGTGGCGCTTACTACCTTTAAAAAGCAGAGCCGCAGTCAACCACCTTATCGACTAATCAAGTAGTTGATGGAAATTCTATCAATTATTCAATTAGCATATTAACTGCTATTTAACATCCCTGTCTGTTACCAGGCACTAGCCATGTTCAGTACATTGGCGAGACTAAAAAAATCATAGTGTGTGTCAGAGCTCCCACTCTAATGAATAATGTAAATAGCTGAGGTTATTACTGAGGATACATACAGACATGTGCAAGTTTGCAATTTGCGTATCTTTTTCTGATATAACTGCAGTCTAGACATAGCCACTCTTGCAGTCTAGATGTACCCTTAGAGATAAGAGCTTTTTTTCTCTCTTGGGAAGCATTTAAGATACTATTTGATCTTTAACGTAGCTGGAGAGTCACAGTTTGGGGATTCTGTTACTTTTGTCTGTTTCTGGTTAAATTTATCTCCGGAGTGTATATATATACTTGACTATACAGATTAAGATGTTGCTATAACTGTCAAATGATGGCAGTTAGCATACTCAGGTTGAAAAACAGTTCATTGTGTGATTGGGTGGTTTTTAAGAATTGGTCAATGGGTGGATCTTTAAAATGCATTTAGCATTGGTTTAACTCTGACCTCATTACAGCCAATGGTAAAGCTCTCATTGTCTTCAATGAAAGCCAAAGCTAACTTCTGTAGAATATCCAACCCAGGAAGATCAAGAAGGCCTCTTCTACCTGGAAAGCAGAGGTTCACTTGCTTGTTTTCTCAATAAAAAAGTCAAATAGGATATATATGTAGTTACGGCTAAAAATAAAAGAAAAATAAATGTTAAAAGCGTTAGCAGGTTGAGATGCTAAAATAAAATCTGGGGAAATCAGCTTATCTAAGCAGGACTGACTGTAAACAAAGTAAATTACATAGAAAGTAACTTTTTTCTTTGAGTTGCTATTTCATTATCAGAATGAAAGATGGTTCAGTGAAGCCCTTTAAAATGTATCTGAGCCAAAAGGGATTGCTTTTAGAGAGGCATATGTAAGTCATCTTTAGAACACAGTCACTTTTGCTATTCATGTTTTATATAATTCTTTAGAATTGGAACAAGGAGAGAAGGTTATATAGGATTGATTTTTCTATATGCCAACAAGCTGTATTTGGGTGTGTATGTTCTAACTCGTTCCATTTGAAATATCAGATATGTGTAGCTGCAGACATATCAGAACATATCATATTGTATTCAAAAAGGATAATTCAGTACAGTGCAGTAAAAATGTATTTTAATCATTGCATCTAAAGACAAAAATATGAAATCACTAATAGGCTCTGTAAAGTCTAAGGAATAGAAATAATTAAGAAATTGAAAGCTAACATCTTGATGGTGATATAAAATAAGGGAAAGGAAATGAAGTGCAAGACCATATGGCAAAGACTTTCAAAGTTGTCTGAGGTCTGATTATTTTTCTTTATTTGGTTTTCTTCGTTTCACTACAATTTATAACCGTGAATGGCTCCAGCCTTTGTTGAGCCTTGAAATCTGGAGCTACATTTTCTTTGTCTTAATCTTACTGTCACCGTGTGATTGGACCTATTGATGATTTTTTGTAAAGTGGCAGATCTCACTCTGTGAAGCACCATCAGCATTCAAAGGGTCTCATCCTGTGAGATGCTGAGCTCCCTGAATTCTCAGTGAAATCAGTAGAGGTGGGATGTTCCTCACCACCTTTCACATTTGCTATACTCTTATTTTGTCCATCCTAGACATTCCCCTTCCCACTCCCACTTTTATACTCTACCTAATGCTCTCTTCTCCAGCTACTCTTTTGTCTTCTCTTTTCGTAAAATAGTTTACATGAGCTGCCAATGAGTATAGAAACTCTTGCCATCTGTGCTGCCCCCATCTTGGGATTGTATCAGAGAGGATTCAATAGGTGTGACAGAGAAGCTTAGAGGAAAATACTGATTAAGTCTCTCACCTGATAAAATTCTTCTGTCTTTAATCTCACTAATTCTCAGACTGTCTTGATCTTGCTAGTTAATTTGTATAGCTCCCATAGAATTTTCTTGCCTCATCTGAAAATAGTGGATACACACTTCTGCTCTCAAATTTATTGGTGTCAACATGCTCAGTACAGATGGCTCTGCGTGCCAAAAACATGAACTTAACTACATGTGAAGCTGACACTGTTTGGAATTCACGAGTGTGCCGCCAGCTTCTCCATTTAGCACACATTTTATGTGTCCCTTTACATTCTTTAATAAACCTAGCATGCCTCATACTTTCTCAGCTGGAAAAATACATAATACCATACTCGCTCTGTGTAAGTGTATCATCTCAAATAACCTTTGGATGTTAACCCTAGGAATTATAGGCTCCTTGTCCTTTGTAAATATATACAGTTTCTCACACAGTGGCTATCAAAGGAGACCATCAGCTTTATCTCTAAATAGAATGTAAACATTGGACTGTGTAGCAGGTTGAAATGTTCTTTCTCTTATTAAATGTAGATCACTACTTCTATCAGATCCCCTAGTAAGATTATAATGTATTTAGGGGATTGGAAATGGAATATGGAACTTTTCCCCTTTCGGCTCAGATATTACCCAAGTCAGTAGCAAATAAATGTCATGTTTGGTGATCTCAGTCTCCAGTTCATAGTGCAACATTATGAAAAATCCTGTTTGGTAATCTTAGCAAAAAGGCTATGGATGAATTAGCACCAAGACTAAAGTGATCTGGTTTTCAGTGGCTGTCCATTTCATACCAACGTGTCTCCATTCAGCTATCTCTTGTTACACAGCATCAGGCGGGTGCTAAAGCTAGCTGCTGCTTTACTGGTATTTCAGTTCCAAGGCTGCTGATCTGGTATTTCTTGATAAATTTGTTTATTTCAAACTACCAAATGCAACTGCTTTAAATTAGTGGAAATAATCAGCTTATAAGGACATCACAAATTTTAAAACAATTTATTTTATTAAACATCTATACTTTATATGCTTTGTACCAGGCTATATTCTGAGGACTTAGATAATATATTCAGAACCTCCTTCCTGTTGTCTAAGAAATGCTGTAAGTGACACTGTTGCTGCAATGTTAAATTAAGAGCTGCATTCTCTTGTACCAGGTGATGGAATTTTACTGCCAGTCTTGTGAGACAGCCATGTGCCGGGAATGTACAGAGGGAGAACATGCAGAACATCCCACTGTACCTCTCAAGGATGTGGTAGAACAACACAAGGCTTCACTACAGGTTCAGCTGGATGCTGTCAACAAGAGGTACAGAGATTATTTTGGTTCCTTGACTCACTGCTGTACATTAGCTGAAACAAAAAACAGGACTATGTAGCACTTTAAAGACTAACAAGATGGTTTATTAGGTGATGAGCTTTTGTAGGCCAGACCCACTTCCTCAGATCAAATTGTGGAAGAAAATTGGGATGACCATATATACCAAAGGGATACAATCAAAAAAAGTGAACACATATGAAAAGGACAAATCAAATTTCAGAACGGGGGGAGGTAAATGTCTGGGCACTAATGATATTAGAGGTGATAACTGGGGAAGCTCGTGAAACTACTGTCTAAGATCACACTGCTCGTTGTGGAACTGTTGATGACTGCTCAAAAGTGAGAAGCAAAGAAAAAAAAACCCACCCCTCACTAACATTGCCTCCAAACGAGATGCAGAAAGACACACTCTACATTCCCCTGCATGCCAGAACCTAGGGGGGCCCAAGCTAGTAGATGTTGTGGTTCCCCCTAGGTTATGTGGTGGGGTCAATAATGAGGGGTTCAGTGTATGGGAGGGGGGATGCCAGGAAGTGGGCTTGGGGTGTGGGTCTGGGTGGTTGGGAGGGTTCAAGAATGGATTGGGGGTCGGTGGGTTGGAAAGAATGCAGGAGTGGCTGGGGGTGGGAGGGCTGGGTGGGAAGTAGGGTGCAAGAGTAGAGTGGGGGTGCAGGGTCTGGGTGGATGGGGGGGTGCCAGAGCAGGGTGGAGGTTGGGGGGGTTGGGCGAAGGAGAGGGGGGTGATTACCTGGTGCAGCTCCCTAGGGATACATATGGCTCCATGCCCACCCCCATCTCAAGCACTACCTCTGCTTCTCCTGTTGGCCGTGATGTAGGCAGCACTTTGCTGCACTGCCATTTCACCAGCTGGGAAGAAGGGGAGCAACAGCACACAGAGCCACATCCTTTCCCTGCCAAGCAGAGTCCATGGGTCAGATCTGGTCCTGGATAGCCTGACTCCAGTTCGCAAGGCTCCTGGCTCCCCCCTGCAGCAGGGAGCTGGTGTTGGTGCTCCAGCCCTGCGGGCGGGGACACAGGGTTGGAGCGCCAGCTCCCCAGTGCTGGGGTTGGGGGGAGCCTTGGGAGGCTGGAACCAGGCAGCTGGGGACCAGATCCAGCCCCTGGGCCTTAGATTCCTCACACCTGCTTTACAATGTGGTTTAAACTAATGTTTTGGAATATATAATATTTTAGCTATTTTTTTTTTAAATATATTTGGTCATCATAAAGGTGAGTGATCAAATGCACTGGATTCCCTCTGGGCAAATAGTAGACAGCTGCTTATACAAGCTTCTGTATACAGCTCTGAACATTGTCCTCACTATGCTAGTCCTAGATCCCTCGAGGAGAGATGCAGCATGGCATTTCTGCCCTGTTGTGTGAGGCGTTGCTCATTTAGTTCAGCTAAGATTGTAAGGAAAAATACTTTGAAAAAGTCACTGCTCTTAGGAAAGAGGGAAAGAATCTGTCTCATACAGATAGACCACTGGCCTGGGACTCAAAAGAACTGGGTTCAGTTCCCAGCATAACAAACTTCCTGTGTTACACTGGGCATCTGGGCATTAGTTCTTCACCTGTAAAACAAGGATACTTCTAATCCTGACTCTGAGTTGTGATTGTGAGATTAATGACTGCAACACACTCCAATACGACACAGAAGAGGACAGAGAAAAATATCTTGCTATCTTTTGCATGGTAGTGCCTGGGTCTTGTTTAGGCACTTATAAGAATACACCCCTTCCAAGGAAGGGGAATAGAAGTATGGGGAGAGAAATATTTGGCATGAGCATATAGACACAGAACACATGAATGATACCTGATCTTTAAAAATATATCAGAATTTGTTACACAACAACAGCATGAATTAAGGACAGCCAGCCAAAGGCCTTCCTTGTGGAGTTCCACCAGTTTCAGTGGAGTTCCACCAGAGAGGATTTTGGCCCTAGAATGTCATCCGGTCATGATCAAACTTTAACCATGTAAAACAAAACCAGATTACTATATTGTAATAAAGGGGTAGAATTCTGTTCCTGAAAAATACTGCCTTTAAAAATAACATGGGAATGGAGTTTTCATCACATTATCTTGTCCCTAAAATCCTGTCTTTTGAGTTGCCAATCTTTGTAATTTGTTTCCCCCACAGACTTCCAGAGATAGATTCTGCACTTCACTTCATATCTGAAATCATACGTCAGTTAGCCAACCAAAAGGCTAGCATTGTAGATGATATTCATTCTACTTTTGATGAACTTCAGAAAACTTTAAATGTGCGCCAGAGTGTGTTGCTTATGGAACTGGAAGTGAATTATGGCCTTAAACACAAAGTAAGAGATGTGTTCTTTCTCACGTGAAAAGTTATTAATTTAATAAGACAACTCTTACAGCAGGCGCACAGTGCCAACAGGTCATGTTGAAAGGACAGGAGACATTGGATGTGGATTAATTAGGCTGCAACTTTATTCTTAATTCTCCAGGAGTGTCAAGTCAGTAAAAATGTACAGCACAGATAATTCTATGATGATAGATATCAATATATATCCAGGGACTTCCATCAGCCCACCCTCATCTGGAACCTTCTCTCTTCTCCCTGCTACCCCTCCAAATGAAGGATATGGTAGGTAATAAAAGAAATGGGGGAGGGGGAGAGTTGGCTCCCTGCCAGGCTAGTCAGAAAAGCCCCAAACCCTCCACCCCTATTTCTGTTCTTCACTGAGACTGGTAAAGGATTTAAAGGAGGTGTATCTGACCACTGTATCTTTTCCCCGTGGAGTATCACTTCACGTAAGCATAATGAGTTGCACATCATAGCCTAACTCCTGGTCAGTGTTCATTCCCAGCTAGTCTCCTCCCCAGAATCTCCTGTGGGGAAGGCAACTGTCCCAGGTACACCTTGCCTAAGCCAATCTGGTGCCGAGGGGAAAATTCCTCACAACCACCCACTCCTGAGAAAGGAGCAATTATCACAGTGTCCACAGTGGAACCTGTCCAAAGTGGAACCTGACCAAACCTGATATTTTACTATTTCCATAGGTGGGAAGGTGAGTGCTGCTCTGCCTGGTCCAGGTAAAAGGGGTTCACCTGTGCCAAGCAGGTACTTGTATAACCTTCCCTCTCTTCAATGTGGGGGAATGGGACTGTCCTTCAGGCTGACCTGCTCTGAGATTGCAAATTCACACTAGCTCTTTATTCCCTAAAGAAATATACACCGTCTTCCAGCAAACTAGGCCAGTGGTGGGCAACCTGCAGCCCATCAGGGGTCGACGTGTGGCCCATGAGACATTTTGCTTACCATTGCCCATGGGCAGGGTTGCCAGATTCCCATCTGTGTAGTGACATTACTAATGTGACCCATGCATAAAGCAAGGGCACGTGAAATGCAGAGCGTGCTGATTGCACACAGCATTGACTGTCAAAGCCAAGCACTCTCTGCTGCATCCAAGCAGACCACTGCTATGGTTCAGTCAGCACATCCTGCAAATTCTAGCTATGCAAGTGCAGCTAGTAAGACCATGTTGGTTATGGCAATATTGCAGCCCACTGAGATGGAGCCCTGGTTGCCCATCACTGAACTATACAATGACCCCCTACCACTTAATACGCAATGCAGCCTTTATATTTGATATCAAATTTTCTTTAGTTTGGAATGTTCCCACAGAATATATTACCATACTTTCCTTTACAGGTACACTTTAATCACTTTTCAGCTCATTTTATATTTTACAAAAATCTAGAGGTTTCTTTGCATCAGCAAATTCCAGAAGAAATGTTTTAATGAAATAAATTTGAAATCAATACAGGCAGTCCCCGAGTTACGCGGATCCGACTTATGCTGGATCCGCAGTTACGAACGGGGCTTTTCTCGCCCCGGAGGACGGGAGAAGCGGGACGCCCAGATGCGCCGCGGTCCGCCGCCCCCGTCCTCTGGGGCGAGAAAAGCTGCTTGTTCTGCAGACAGACTGCTGGTCGGGAGACGGGGAGCAAAGCCTTGGAACACGCCCACAGCGGGACAGCCCGGGCGCACTTGAGCTGTCCCCCTGTGGGCGTGCTCCGCGGCTTTGCTCCCCGTCTCCCAACCAGCAGACCAGGGAGATGGGGAGCAAAGCCTCAGAGCACGCCCGCAGTGTGACAGCCGCCGCGGGCCCGGACTGT